GAGTGGCCGAGGCTTGGGCCCCCCTTCCTTGCATATCCTGGAGGTCCCGGCAGTGATGGTGTCCAGCAGTGATGGGGTCCCAGCCCCCTTTGGTGCCTGCGGTGTGGTGTCACCGTCCCCATGCTGCCAGGAGGGATGGTCCACTCCAGTGAGCCTAAGTTTGGGAATTCAGTGTGGGAGGCCTTGAGGGGGTGTGCACAACAGCAAGGGTAGGGATGCAGGTACTGGCTGAGAGAAATAGGTATTTTTATTATTTTTTGTATAGAAATTTTTCTTATTATTTTTATATATAAGGAGACAGACAGTGATGGAGAGCAAGGGTTTGAGAAGTATCAGGCGGGAGCCCCATGTGAGGGGTCCTGGGACCCTCTTCCATGGCTTTTCCCAACACCGGCTCCAAGAGATGCTGTGCCATGGGATGGCACAGAAATGTGCAGTGGCTCATGCTGGTTCCACAGCGTGGGCCCAGGGTGGCTCCCAGCACAGCTCAGCAATGCCGAAATCTCCTTCCCCGCTCCCAGCATCGCAGACGGTGGCCACTGGGATCTCCTCATCTTTCTCCCAGGGACTGAGACCCAGTGCCCATCCCGAAGCTCAGCACACCACCAGATGGGACCTGGAGTCAGACGCCGGATTAAACATTGAGAGGGGGATTAGGAGGGATTAATCCAGATCAGTGTCCAACCAGGGGCTGGAGCCGGGGCTTTATGTACTCGGTAAATAACCTCTTGCATCGCTTTGCCCAGGGCTGGGCTCACCAGCTCTGTGCCAGCTGTTTCCCAAGCTGGCTGGGGTGGATTTTAGGGAGTCCTTGCCTTGATCCCCATCACGGGGAGGAGATGCAAACAGTCGGGAGCCAGGACCTTTGTTGGTCTCTGGCCGCCTGTGCGAGGGCAATGCCTGGCCGTGCTCCAGCGCTTGGCCCCTGTGCATGGGCTGGGATGGAGCATGAGCTGGGGGGGTCCGGGGCCCCCAGCCCCATGGCTCCTGTCTGGCACAGCCCTGGCTGCTTCACCTGGTGATGGCGGGGACGTGGGGAGAGGCTGAGCAAGGGCTCATTAACACAGCGAGGGCTTCTCCATCCCGGCTGCAGGTGCAGGTCTGTACCAGTTCTTGTGGGCTGTGTCCTGGTGGTCGTGGGTAGATTTCTGGGGGGAGAGGCTGGGTTTCGGCCAGGATGGGCTGCAGAGATGCTGGATGCTTGGGCGAGGAGCTGGGTGCCCTGGGCATGGCTCAGGGGAGTGCTCAGGGATCCCCTTCTTGCTGCCCCGTCTCCTAATTGCAATTAATATTCTTACCATGCTGTGCACTGGGGTGTGATGGAGGGGTATGGAAAAGGGAAGGGAGGGATGGGGACAAGAAGGAGGGAGCAGGGAGACGGAGGAGAGCAGCATCCTTATCTCCCCAGGCAGATAAAATGAAGCTGCTTCTGCGCTGACAGTACAGGAGTTGTTGGGAGTTTTAGGAGCTGAAAGAATCGCTTAATTGTGTCCTTTTTTTAGCTCTGGGGAGATAAAAGGCAAAAGCCCCCAAGTCTCCCCCTGTTCCTGTCCCACCTCTTTTATATTGGGCTCCCAGGGAGGGACTGGGGGTGCTCCTGTCCCTGCCAGCCTGGGGGGGAGGCCCTGCTGCCCTTCCCAGGGGGTGTCTCGGAGGAGCCAGCTGCTTTGTGAGTGGGGTTTCACTGGGGGAACCCCCAAAACAACCCCTGTGGTGCCCTCCCAGGGTTGAAAGGCTTTGCTGATGCTTCTGCGCCAGCTCTGTTTCCACTGCTCCAGCACACAGGAGGCTCCAGGGGGCTTCAAACCCCTCCTGAGGGACTTCAAACCCCTCCTGGGGGGCTTCAAACACCTCCTGAGGGGCTTCAAACCAACCCCAGGGGCTTCAAACCACCCCCAGGGACTTCAAACTGCCCTGCAGCCTTGGGCAGCTTTTGTTTGCTTTTTTGGGCAGCTGCACTTCCTGGCCTTCCCGTCCTGCTCTGCCCATGAAGCCGCTGCTTCCCACGCTCCTGGCGGCGGGGGCTGAGCCAGCGCTGCCCCAGTGCCTCCCAGTACCTCCCAGTACCGCTGCGGTGGCAGACACCTGTCATGAAATGGGTCATTTCCCAGCGTGGCATCACTGCGGCGCAGGGACAGCAAGCAGGAGGGCTGTGTGTCCCCAACCTCCAGCTCCTCGCTGTCACCACAGGTGGGGTTTGGGTGCCACAGGGAAAGATCTTTTGGGGGCCACCGGGCTCTTCTGATGCTTTTTGGGGGTCTTGGTCTTCTGACCATTTTGTGGGGGTCTGCGCTGGGACAAAACTACCCCTGGGGAGGGCATAACTGAGAAGCAGGGGGTGCCATTTCCCCTGTGACAGCAGGGGACACCCGTCCTGTGGGTATAGGCACTCGTACAGACTGGTTCAGGCACTGCTCATCCCACTGTGGCACCCAGTAAGGCAGGATTGGGTTCCCTCAAAGTATCTCAGTGGTGTGAGGATCCGGGCACCCATTTCAGATATTTTTTAATTTATTTTTTATGTATTATCTCAGAGCAGAAGTCGTTAGTGAGGCAGAGCAATAAAAAACAATTCCCTCTGAGTTGGCTCATTAACGGAGGCCAAGGACGGAGCAGCCGCTGTGCTCCCCCCTTGCTGGCAAAGCCAGGGGGAACATGGGCATGGCAGAGACCCCTCATGGCCCTTGGACCCCTCTTTACCCTGCAGGGTCCATCTTTCCCAGCTGGGTGGAGGTAGGTGGGGGTCCTGTGCCCATCCCTGGGCACGTAGCACTGAGCATCAGGACAGAACTGGCCCTTCTGGGCTAAAAATCCATTCATTTCCATCTTGCCCTTTTTTACCTCTTTTTTTTTGACTCATTTGCCTTAATTAGTCCCATTAGGTGAGCTTAATTACCTGAGGTCAGGTGCAACCCCAAGGTGGGTGCGCTGAGGTGTTGTGCTATAGAGGCTGTAAGGACCGTGGTGCATTGGGGTGTTGTGCTATAGGGATCACGGTGTGTTAGGTTATTGTGCTACAGGGGCTGTAGGGCCTGCAGTGTGTTGGGGTGTTGTGCTATAGGGATTATGGTGCATTGAGGTGTTGTGCTATAGGGAATGTGTGTGCTGGGGTGTTGTGCTATAGGGAACTTGGTGCATTGGGTTGTTGTGCTATAGGGACCGTGGTGTGCTGGGGTGTTGTGCTATAGGGATCATGATGTCTTAGGTTATTGTGCTACAGGGGCTGTAGGGCCTGCAGTGTGTTGGGGTGTTGTGCTATAGGGATTATGGTGCATTGAGGTGTTGTGCTATAGGGAATGTGTGTGCTGGGATGTTGTGCTATAGGGCCTACAGTGTGCTGGGGTGTTGTGCTATAGGGACCATGGTGCTTTGGGGTGTTGTGCTATAGGGACTGTGGTGTGCTGGGGTGTTGTGCTATAGGGATCACGGTGTGTTAGGTTATTGTGCTACAGGGGCTGTAGGACCTACAGTGTGTTGGGGTGTTGTGCTGTAGGGATTATGGTGCATTGGGGTATTGTGCTATAGGGACCATGGTGCGTTGGGGTATTGTGCTATAGGGACCATGGTGCGTTGGGGTGTTGTGCTATAGGGGTAGGGTCCGTGCTGCATTGGGATGATGCGTTGGGCTGTTGTGTTGGAGTGATGCGCTGAGGCACGCACACCGCGCCAGCCCTTAGCAACAAGGATGCTACATGGCAACGTGGTCCCAGCTGCCCTGTGGTGCCGCGGGGAGGGGGAGGCAGCAATTTTCCCCCTTGGCTAAATCAATTTTCTCTTATATTTATATTCTCCAGACAACGCATGTCCTGGGGTGGGGGGACCAGATTCCCCTCGAGTTTTCCCAGGGCTGTGCAAGGATGGGGAGCCCCAAAAAACAGCTTCTACAGCCCAAAAACCGGCATGCTGTGAACATGGGGGAGAGGAGATGGGGTCTTTGCATCAGCTCCTGCTCACTGCAGCTTCCTCACCTACTGCAGCTTCCTCACCCACTGCAAACCCCCCCAGGCCCCATGAATGGGGCCATTGGATGCCCTGGTCCAGGCTTGGTCCAGCCTCGCTTCGCTCTCCTGATGGAGGATTTTAAGTGTTTGCGCTGCCAGCGCGCTTTGTGCTCAAACAACAACAAAACTAAGCAGTCAATTTTCCAGCAATTAGCTACAGCGAGAACATTTCAAGTCCTAGAAAACCCCGCCCTGCAGGATTAATTAAATCCTCCAATTAATGTCTAATTTAAATGATGATGATGGCTGTTATCATTTCATATTGATTTTTTTTCTTTTTTTTTGGTCTTAAAATAGAGCCGCTGTCCCTTCCATGCTGCCTTTTCCACACCCCAGGAGCTGTTTGTTCCCTCTGTTTGATTTGCCAACGTTAAACATGTGTCTGGAAAATTGAGCCTTGTATTTCGGGGAGGGAGGGTTTTGGGCAGCGCTCGGTACCTGTGGCAATGGGTCTCGGCTGCGTGTTGGGAGACGTTTGTGCAGAAAAACCTGTGATTTTATAACTTTTATGCAGCGGATATACACTTGGCCGTGTGAAATTGGACTCCTGGCATATTAAATTTTTACTGCTATAAACCCAAAGCCATTACTTTCCCCCTGACTCCAGCAGCCATAAACCTTGCCGCTGCTTTGCTTCCAGAATAAGCCGAGCATTTATGTTTCCCGGGAGCCGGTTCATTGGCGTAATGGATGTGTAACCTCCTGTAATTGCGAAGGTTATTCCCGCGCTCGCATGCAAGCCCTGACTCCGGCACCAGTGAGCAAGAGCTGGTTTTATTTCCAGTGGGTTTTTTTGGGGGGAATGACTCAAAAATGCTAGGAATGGCACTGGGAAGTGGTGAAATCATTGGGAAGCCAGAACTGAGCATCCCTGGGTGCTCGGCCTCACCCGAGCTGCTCCATCCCAACCAGGCTTCAGAAAGTGCAGGAGCAGCTCCAGGACACGGGTGTGGGCACCCAGCATGGTTCCCCCCTCACCTCTCCCCTCTCCCCTTCCAGACCAGGAGCTCGCGGCACTCCCAGGGCACCCAGCCCGGCTTGGCCGATCAAGCTAAACTCTCCTTTGCCTCGGCCGAATCCCTGGAAACCATGTCGGAAGCGGAGCTGCCCCTGGGGTTCAACAGGATGAACCGGTTTCGGCAGAGCTTGCCCTTGTCCCGCTCCACCAGCCAGACCAAGCTGCGATCGCCAGGTACCCGCGGTGCCGGGATGGGATCCCTTTGGATTTGCCATCTCCAGGAAGATACGCAGGAAAAGCTCATTGCTCTCTGCTCCCTTTCCTTCCAGGGGTCCTTTTCCTTCAATTTGGGGATGAGACCAGGCGCGTCCACATCACCCACGAGATCAGCAGCATGGACACCCTGCACGCCCTCATCGTCCACATGTTCCCCCAGAAGCTCACCATGGGGATGCTGAAGTCTCCCAACACCGCCATCCTCATCAAGGACGAGTCGCGCAATGTCTTCTATGAGCTGGAGGATGTCCGGTGAGGATGGGGCTCAGAAATCCCCCATGGATTGAGTTTCTCTTTCTTTAGGATCATCACAAGCAAGGAAATTGGTGGGATGAAAGCAGAAGAGGGCCGTGGGTGCAGTCCTTGGATGCTCACAGCTCTGTTTCTCCTTTCAGTGACATCCAGGACAGAAGCATCATTAAAATCTACCGAAAAGAGCCGCTCTACGCATCCTTCCCGGCCTCGCACATCACCAATGGTGACCTGAGGGTAAGGGGGTTGGGGGTGTGGGTGCATCCAGTGGACTGGGACCAGTAGAGAGGGAAAATTATGGAGATGGGGACTGGTAATTGCTGGTGTTTGTGGCAGGAGGAATGGCTGCGATTCGTCTTGGCCGGTTGCAGCGTTGTTAAGTGTTACTCTAAGAGAATGGATGTTTGGAGCCTGGCAGCAGAGTAATAAACATGATAATTAGGGGATTCATCAGAATAAATCATCCCGGGAATGCAGGAGCTGCCAGCAGCCAAGGCCAGAAGATGTAGGAGTTTGGTCCTTGGGAGATGCAGCGAGGCAGGGTCCTCCCATGCAGAGCCAGGGCAGGGGGAGGCAGCCTGCAGGGACGCTGCTGACCCCCCCTGCCCGTTTCCACAGCGGGAGATGGTGTACACCTCCAGGGAGTCGTCGCCCACCCGCCGCCTCAACAACATGTCCCCGGCATCCCCCCTCACCTCCGGCTCCCCGCCGCCCGTGCTGCAGTCCTCCTCCCCGTCCCGCTCCCGCATGTCCTACAGCGGGGGTCGCCCACCCTCCTATGCTGGCAGCCCTGTCCATCACGGTGAGCGTCTCTCCACCCTCCCCCCGGCCCAGGGGGTCTCCCCCAGCCCCAGCGCCATCCTGGAGCGCCGGGACGTGAAACCAGACGAGGACCTGGCGGGGAAGAACGTGATGCTGGTGAAGAACGAGGGGCTGTACGCCGATCCTTACGGCATGGTGCACGAGGGCCGGCTCAGCATCACCTCCACACAGTCCCTGGCCGGCATGGGAGACCCTTTTGGCTACTCGGGTGGGTTGTACAAGCGAGGATCTGTACGCTCGCTCAGCACCTACTCGGCAGCCGCCCTGCAGACGGACCTGGGGGACCGCCTCTACCAAACCAATGCACCCATCTACAGCGACACGTACGGCCCCGGTCTGGGCTTCCGCATGCCCCCCTCGTCCCCGCAGAAGATGGCCGAGGGGCGGCTGGTGGACATGCAGCCAGGGCAGAGCCCGCACAGCCCCTACTCGGGCCCCCCCAGCCGTTCCTCGCCCGTCCGTCAGTCCTTCCGCAAGGACTCCTGCTCCTCCGTCTTTATGGACAGCCCCGTTAACAAACCACGCAACCCCAGCTCCTCCGGTCCTCCGGAGCTGTTTCCTGGCCCTGGTGATCGCCCCCTTTCAGGGTTCGGCTCCCCTGGACCAGCCAAGGACACGGAGACGAGGTGAGATGGGGTGCGGGAGAAACCTCCCTGTGAATAGGAGCTTTGCTGCTGGGGTGGTCATCTGTTGGTGGAGGGAGAGGTAGAGGAAGAGCAGAGGAAGGCTTTGTCCCACCAGGATGGGAAATGAGGCCCCAAATTGTGCAGGGCTGAGGGGAGCAATTGGGGGTCTTTGGAGGCAAGAACAGAGAGGGAATTCAGGGGAGGAGGGGTGTAGCAGTGCTCCCACCTCCCCAGTGTACCTCCTGGGGCCAACAGGGACCCCATGGGTGGGTGCAGATGAGGCCAGGACAAAGTTGGGGGTGTCCGTGGTGCTGGAGCCGGGTCCTCACCTGTCCCCTGTCTCTGCAGAGAGCGGATGGAGGCGATGGAGAAGCAGATCGCCAGCCTGACGGGGCTGGTGCAGAGCGCACTGCTCCGCGGCTCTGACGCTGAGACCCCCAGGTGAGGAGCAGGAGGGTCGGCATGGGACCCCTGGGGTCATCTGCGGGGAGGGGGGACTCCCTGATACAGAGACTGGGGGGTCCTGCACCCCTCCAGGTGGACACCAGTCCCCACCGTGCCCCTGCAACCCTTGAGCTGGGACAACAGAGGCGCCTGGTCCCCACTCACTCCCCTCCTCTCTTCCATTGCAGTGAGAAGACAGAAGCCACC